TCCATGCAGTAACAGAAGGAGTTCATTTTACCTAGCACTGACTGCTGTCTATCTCAGGGTTGTGACATCACCATAGAGAATTCCATTTTTTTAAACAAATCTTTATATTTATTAATTTTTATTTTAAGTGCATTGGTATTTTGACATGGGTGTCAAGTTCCCAGGTCCTCTGGAAGAGCAGTCAGTGCTCACAACTGCTGAGCCCTCTCTCCAGCCACTAGAAAGCTTTTAAGCTTTATTTTTACTGTATGTATATGGGTGTTTGCCTGTATGTGTCTATGCACAGTACCTGCAGAGGTCAGAAGAGGGCGTCAGATGCCTTGGGAGTAAAGTTACAGGAGGTTGGCTACCAAGTTTCTGGAAATGGAACCTGTGAGGGCTGTAACATCATCCAGTGTCTTAACTGCTGCCTCTCTAGCCAATTTTTATTTAAAATTTATTTTCATATTTTAATTAAAATATTACATCACTGTTCTCCCTTCCTTGTTCTCTTTCCATCCTTTCCCAAATTCTTCCCTTCATTTTCTTCCTTGTTATAGATGTGTAATTAAGTATGCACAAATATATGAACAAAACCTGCTGAGTCCATTTATGTTGGTTGTGTGTATATGGTTTCTGGGCTAAAACATTGAACGTGATAAGCAATTAGGGACCTCATCCCTGCCTGAGGCTAATTCTCTCACTTGCAGAAGAATTACCCTGTTTAATGAGCAACAAGAGTCTGACCCTGAAGAGACCTAGGCTGCCTTGGATATGAGACATTATTAAAACCAGAAAACTTTGGGTGGCAAATAACTCAGCTAACACTTGCTGGTGTCATGGACCGGACCTGAAGTTCTGATGCTACAGGGAAGACTATGGACACTGACCCAAGCCAAAGTTTCCCTAGGTTCTGTGGCCTTCTACCATATTCCATTGACTATTCTCATCTTGGATGATTTTGAAATCCTGAAATGCTGCCTCCACTTTCTAACTACCATGGTTACAGGCCTGTGCCACCATGCCTGGCTTAGGGGGCTTCAACTTCATTTAGTGAGATGTTAGAATGACAGGATGAGTAAGACAGGCAGTTACACTTACCTATATTCAAAAACCACTTAACCTCTGTGAGCCTGGGTTTTGCCATCTCGAGAATAAGGACAGAACTCTGAACTAGTCTTTTGATGAGTTAGAACAGATTCAATGATAGAGAAAAATAATATTGCTCATAGGTAAAAGACAGTGGACTTCAAATCAGGAAGGCTGCATTTGATGAGAGCCTTCTGTTACTGGAGTTAGGACCAGAGCCTGTCTCATGGCTACCATAACCAGCCAGGTTCAGCCACTCATCTTTATTAGACCAATTAAAAGAACCAAGTTATCCTGTTGTGACAAGTCCACTATAATGAATACACTCTGAAGGCAAGGTGGGTAGTTCTCTCTGAAGTCCTAGGACAGCCTAATCCATAGAGTGAGTTTCAAGCAAGCCAGACATTCATAGTAAGACTATTCCCTTAAAATAAAAATAAACAGGGCTGGAGAGATGGCTCAGAGGTTAAGAGCACTGACTGCTCTTCCAGAGGTCCTGAGTTCAATTCCCAGTAACCACATGGTGGCTCACAACCATCCGTTATGAGACCTGGTGCCCTCTTCTGGTGTGCAGATATACATGGAAGCAGAATGTCGTATACATAATAAATAAAATCTAAAAAAAAAATAAATAAAAAGAAACAAAAGAAACAAGAAACAAGAAAAAACCTAAGTATTAAGAAAAACTGAAAGCATATTTATTCAGTGTGACTAACTGGTAACACTTGGAGAACAGGTTTAAATAGACAGCAAGAGATATGCACAGCTAAGTAATCAAACTAAGCCACACAATAAATTTTTTTCAACCCCAAATCCCTCCCCCATTCTCAGTTTTCTCCAGTGCAAGATATTCAGGTTAGGAGGTAAATGTTTCTTCAGGAGAAAAGTTTTCTTCTGGAGGACTCAGTCTTTGCCCAGAATGAGATTTCCGGGAAATCAGTGGGGTCAACCAAATGGGGTCCTGCTGGGTGCTGTCATTGACAGCTACATGAAATTGTCAAAAAAAAAAAAAAAAAGGTAAGAATGAAAGACTTGGAAGGGGTAGGGCCACCACATCCATGAAGTTTTATATCTGCATGAATTACTTCATGTAATTGAAGAGAAGTGTGAAATCTAAAAGGGTGACCTTTTAATTTAAATTCATAGGGCTTTTGTTCACATAAAGAAGTGCATTGTCATGCTTGAACAGATTGTTGACACTTGTCAGATTTTTTCTTCAGAATAAAAAATCATGTTTAACTGAATATAAGTGTATTGGCTAAAGTTTTTTTTTTACCAAATCCTTTACAATGAGTTTCCCTTTTGTATGAGTTCTTTCGGGGTTTCAAAGATTACTGTTATATGCAAAGTCTGTAACAGATTGATTACACACTAAAGGTTTTACTCTTGTATAAAGACTAACGAAGTGCAATGACTTTGCCACACTGACTACATTTTTAGGGATTCTCTCCGGTATGATTTTTTGTCATGACTTCAAAGACAACTGTTACATGCAAAGGCTTCACCACATTACTTGCAGTCATTGGGTTTCCTTCAGTATGTGTTCTTTTATGTATTTGGAGACTTCTGTGATGTGCAAAGGTTTTATCACATTGAGTACACCGGTAGGGTTTCTCTCCAGTATGTCTTCTTATATGTATTCGGAGATAACTGTGTTCTGAAAAGGCTTTATCACACTGATTGCATTTATAGGGTTTCTCTCCACTATGTATTTTTTTATGTATTCGGAGACTAGCATTACGTGCAAAAGCTTTACCACACTGACTACATTCATAGGGTTTCTCTCCAGTATGTGTTCTTTCATGTACTCGGAGGTAACTATTTTGTGAAAAGGCTTTACCACAATGAGTGCATTCATAGGGTTTCTCTCCAGTATGAATTCTTTTATGCCTTTGAAGATAATTGTGACGTGCAAAGGCTTCACCACATTCATTACACTTGTAGAATTTCTCTCCAGTATGGAGTCTTTCATGCTTTTGAAGGTGACTGTGGCGTGCAAAGCCTTCACCACATTCATTACATTTGTAGGGTTTCTCTCCAGTATGCGTTCTTTTATGTACACGGAGAATATTGTGCTGTGAAAAGGCTTTACCACATTGATAACATACATACGGTTTCTCTCCAGTATGTGTTCTGATATGTATTTGGAGACTAGTAGGTTGTGAAAAGGCTTTATCACATTGATTACATCTGTAGGGTTTTTCTCCACTATGTGTTCTTTTATGTCTTTGGAGGCTGCTAAGATGTGCAAAGGCTTTACCACATTCATTACACTCGCAGGGTTTCTCTCCCGTATGTGTTCTTTTATGTATTCGGAGATAACTGTGATTTGCAAAGGTTCTACCACACTGATTACATTCATTGCGTTTTCTTCCTCTAGGAATTATTTCATGCCTTTGAAGATGACTATGAGACGGAAGGGCTTTGTCACATTGAGTATATTCACAGGGTTTCTCTTCAGTATGACTTTCATGCCTGTGAAGATAATTGGCACATGTAAAAGCTTTACACATACATTACACTCATGATTTCTTTTATCTGAATGAATTAATTTTACAATTCAGTGTGGTGATACCTTGCTTGTACAAATAAAGCCTGTCTGAAGATCAGAGGATGGAGCTTGCCTCTAGCTAACCATAGAGGTATGGAGGTCAGTACAGATAGACAGGAAGTGAGAAAGCTGGGTAGAAATAGGAAGTGAGATGGCCGGGTACAGAGAGAGAGGATATAAATGGGAAGAAACAGGAACTTGCTCTCTTATCTGCTGAGAGGCTAAGGAGGTAAAGGTGGCTTTGGCTTGCTCCTTCTTCTTTCTGATCTCTCAGCATTTTTCTCTGTATCTGACTCTGGAGTTTTATTACTTAGATCAATTAAAAAACTCCTTTTTACAATTCTGTCTAATTGTAAAGAAGAATCAGATTTTAAGTTTTTATAAGATTTTAAGTTTAATTTAAGGCGTTCCCCTTCATTAAGGTTGTTTTGAGTCTTTGAAGAGACCAGTGATGATAACAGCCTTTATTATATGGCTCACATTTATAGCATCCTTTATGAGTTTTTCCACATATCTGAAGAGAACTGAAAAAACTCAGAGCTTTGACACAGTGACTACATTTGTAATATTCCTATACTGTGAATCATATATTTGCAAAGTGAACTAGGACAAACCAAAAGTTTCTACATTTCAAATACTCATAGGGCTTATCTGCAGTGTGAGTTTATTGATGTATTCCCAATTCAGTTCAAAAACTAATTAATGAACTTATATCATATTCAACAAGTCTACTGAAAGTAAGGACTACTACATAACTTTTAATTATTCTGGGGAAGCAATTACTGTTTTCCATATCCCTATGCTCATATGACTTGTATCCAGAGTGACATATGATATACCTAGTAAAGGAAGAATGACAAATAAAAGTTTTGTACATTGCATTCACACAGTTTGAGTTTCATTTCCTCACAGACATGTGATAAAGGGATTAAAGTTTCTCCACAACAACCTTCTTGGTCCTCATAAACTTCCCATCTCACTAAACTTAGCGAAGTCACTACAAGTATATGAGTAACACCATTTTTACTATGGGCTATTTATATATATTTACATATGAGACATATACTTATCACCTATTCAATGTGTATACTTTCAGCAATATCTGAGTGGTATGAAACTAAATTGATTGGTAGTTCTACAGCATAGCTCTTATAGAGCTATGATTCAAATGGTGATATCTGTTAAGGCATTGTTTCCTTGTCTTCTTTCTTAAAAGAATGACTTACAACACAAATTGGACCCCTGACATTGAGGTACATGATTTTGTGAGAATTTCATAATCAACAATAAACTTAAGGCTGTGCTTATTTATACTGTTGCTTTTCCTTAAAACTTCCAGGCCACATTAAAACTTTTTCAGAGGCACACTTGCACATGGAAATTACCTTCCGTGTCTTCTAAAATTTTGACAATGTTCTTCAATATTATGGTCTTCCCAACTGTAGCCTAAAATATAGTACAAGAAAATGCATGATATATTGTTGGAAATTATATAAAATTTAAGTTATTATCTCCAATGAATCTTAGAACCCTGCCTGATTTATCCAACTCATTCTTCCTTTCTCAATCAAAATTATAGTAGACTATCAATAACCAAGACACAGTTGTCCCCTTATTTTAAAAAATGAAGGGAAATTCAGTCTTACCTATAGCAGTAAGGTTCCTGTAGGTTTCCAGCATCACATCTTTGTAGAGATTCTTCTGGGAAGGATCCAGCAAAGTCCACTCTTCCCGAGTGAAGGTGACATTCACATCATCATAGGTCACTGCATTCTAAAATATCCCATACATGTGTACAACAGAAAGTGCAATAGTAACAGTGTTGTAAATGTATACTTTGCTGAAAATATATTCATAGATTTCTGGTGCTTCCCAGACTTATTCCATAACAGAATTTCTAATGTAATCACAAAGTCAGTTTAGAAGGAAACTGAATAGGAGGTTCAACTCTGTTATTTCTGTATCTCTGATTGGGATATAGCCTTGCAAGAAAAATGCTAATTAATAGACTTAAAAAGAGAAAGACAAGCAAACAGATTGTAACTGTACTGAGTAAACACCAGAGACATTGTATGAACAATTACTAACTACAAAAAAACATGGACAAGCTGGGTGTATTGTCTCATGCCTATAATCCCAGCACTCAGAAGGCAGAAACAGGTGTATCTCTTTGAGTTGGATGCAAGCCTGGTCTAGGCGATGAGTCCCAGGACAGACAGAGGTACATATTAAGACCCTGTCCCCCCACAAAAATCAACTGATCAAAGAAAAAATATAGAAAGAATACAGAGGTTTTTGCTGAAGTTCCTAAAAGATTTATGCATTCACTGCCGTTCTGTCTTCATTTTCCCGAAACCTGAAATGTGCAGTTTAACAGTACCATTAATAAGATGTTATTAAAAGGGAATGCATGTCTAAACGGTTACAAATGGACAGATGAATACATTATGATTGTAAATGTTGATCATAAATAAACAACACAGGACAGGAGAGATGGCTCAGCAAATGGGTAGGCTCAATTGCCAGTGGGGGTTCACAACTATCCATTACTCCAAATTCGGGAGTTCTAAGGCTGTCATGTGATAAGGCACACGTGTGGGGCATGTCCATGCATACAGGCAAAATACTCATATTTACCTAAAAAAAACCTTTAAAACATATACAACATGTAGGAAAAATGTCACACAACTGCAATCCAATAGCTCAGAAGGCTGATGCAGTATTAATGTCATGAATACATGCTGCCCAATTTCAAAATTCAAGATGTGGTTGAAGATCAGCACAACAGCATATGCTTGACATGTATAAAAAAATCTACATTCTAGGCCTACAAGAAAATAATATAAAAACCGAAAGAGCCAGGTGCATTGGCCCACCTTTAATACTAGCACTCGGATGCCTGAGTTGGAGGCCAGCCTGATCTACATACCTACTTTCAGGACAGCCAGGGCTACACAAAGAAACCCTGTCTTCAAAAACAAAAACAAAAAAATTAAAACAAACCAAAACATCAGGCCAGCAAAATGGTATCTCAAAGAATAGCAATTGCTTCTAATGTATTCTTTGTAATTTAGGGATAGTCTATAATGGTGCTGAAAACATAACAGCATAAAAACAAAGCTAGCATGAAAAGGGAGCTAAACATCAGTTTTAACCACAACACAATAGACACAAAGAACAGGAAATGGGTTGAGGCTATATGCAAATCCCATCCCAGTGAGGAAGTTCATCCAAAAAGCCTCCTCCTCCTAAGGTTCCATAAACACCCTGAAGAAAGCCACTGAGGAGAGACATGTAGGAGATTTTTTCACATAATCAACTACATTCTGAACTAAGTCACTATAAGATCATGGTCATCCCATGATGAAATTCCATTTATTCTAACGTCAAATATCCTCATAGTCTGCAACAGCCCCTACACTGTTCAAATGTCCAAAGTCTCTTCTGATACTCAAGGCAATTCTTTACTGTAACACCTTATAAACTCAGAAAACAAATTACATCTTTCCAACATACAATGACACAGAATACCCATTCCCCTTCCAGAAGAGAGGTATGGGGACACAGTGAGGGAAAACTGGATCAAGGCAAGACTGAAATCCAGCAGGGCAAGGCAAGGATGAAACCCAGCAGGGCAAACTCTGACTCCTGTAGCTCTCTGTCTCAGACACATGGGGCTTCAATTTCAAAGGGCTTAGAAAGCTCTAACCCTGCAACTTCTGATGCATCTCTCTCTTAGGTTACCTCCACTCCATATATGCAGCTCTCCATGACAGGTGTCTGATAGCTTCGATATCTCAACATCTTGTGGTCTTAAATTCATGCAAAGAACTTGAAGTCCCCTACTGGGGGCTCTGATTCTACCAAACATAGACGCCTGCAACAGTGTTGTACTGAAACCACAGACTAAGAATCCATTACTTGAAATTTTTATTCTTCTTTACAGAACCAGTACAATAAGAATGGTCCCCCCAAATTTGGCTTCTAAGTTGGACCAGAGTTGCAGCAGGTTCTTTATGAAGTTGCTTCCTGGGACTAAGAGTCACTTTGCCTATTCCTACCATTAACTGATGGAGTGTTACTTACCCTTAGAGCACCTACTTAGGCTTCCACTGTGGAGTAAAGGCCTTTTCTTTAATGTGATAATCTCATTGCAAGATCCTACCTCTGTTTCAGCACTTGTTGCCATCTTAAGTTACCTATTTCAATTTTCTCTACAAGCCACAAATTTTATTTATTTCTGTGCCACTTGTTGCTTTTTCGCTGTAGTCAAGAATGAGTCATCAATAATATACATACCAATAGATTCCATATTACATCTAAGAAAACAGCCCATTATTTTTTAATTTTGCCACTCAATTTCTCAGTGCATGAGCAGGATAAGAAAGATTATGGAGCTGGGCAGTGGTGGCACACACCTTTAATCCCAGCACTGGGAGGCAAAGGCAGGCAGATCTCTGTGAGTTCTGACCAGCCTGGTCTACAAGAGCTAGTCCCAGGACAGCCTCCAAAGCTACTGAGACACCCTGTCTCGAAACCACCACCACCCCACAAAAAGAAAGATATTGGGCCAAGTTATCATACAATGACATCTAGCTTAATTTTTCATGGAGTCTGTTTCCAACTGAAATCCTGTGACTTTGAAATCCTCTGTCTGCATTACTCTCAACATTCTCATCTTCCTGGTACTACAAGAATAGCCAACTAAGTTATATGTATAGCTTTCTATGACTTTTGCTATTTAAAGTCTGGTTATCTTCCATATGTCTCCAAAAGACAACATTCCCAGGTTCTTCCCAGCAACAAAATCTCTTTTGTTGTGCCATATTTTGCTCCTCTGCTTCTGTGATTAAATCTCTAACCAAAAACATCTCAGGTAATGAACAGGTTTATTTGGCTGACTCTGCCAGATCATAGTCCACAATTTTGAGAGCTTAGGCTAGAAATTCAAACTAGAAAATGAAGGCAAAAACCAATGGCAAACATTGTTTCCAAATTTCTCTGTTGTTTGGTCATTGTCTCATGATCAGCTAGTTCTCTTATTGAGCCCAGGCACACTTGCTTAGGGATCTTGTCAGCCTCACTGGAAGAGCCTTTCCTCATCAATTATCAATCAACACAATGCCTCACAGACACAGCAACCAGTCATTCTTATAGGGGCATATGCTCAATTGAGGCTCACTCAGATGACTGTAGGCTCTGAGATGTTGACAACTGAACCTAAATAGGCCAGAGAGACAATGATAGATTAGAAAGTTTTAAAAACCCCAAACCAGTGTTAACCGTATCAATAACTTAGAGCAGCAGAAACCCAACACTGATGATTGCAACACCTGAAAAATATGGATGCATCAAGAAATGACAGAACCTTTAGCACCAAGAAAACTAAAAGTAAAATTGTTTCTCCACAGAAAGAACCCAAAACAAAAACTCAAGGAACTCATAACATAATATAGTCAAATTTTAGAATACAAAAATAGGTGAAGGTTCATCACTTTCCAGAAAAACAATATAATTAGACTATAATTAATAAAATCACATAACACATAGGTGGTACCACCGATAAAGAGAGACACAAAAGCTTGTTACAAATTGAACATGGTCCCTTAAATAAGAACTACAAGATTCTAACCAAAATCAAAAATCAAAGAAATCACTGGCCAGCACTCACCCTATGCACTCTGGTTTTTTCCTTTGCCAAAATTAGAAAATGAGTTTAGCAAGGAGAGCTGTTCTACCAAAACTGGAGAGATTTACTTGAAGCTTCTGATATTTTTACATTGTAGAAAATAGTTGTGACTATTTAAAATGTCTCATTCCCTTATGAAAAAGAAAATGATGATTGTTAGGATTACTTAGAAACTGCTTTGTTTTCCAATTACTGAAGATTGGATGTAAGTCTGCAACAGAGTATGAAAGTGTAAATTTTTTAAAATCAAATGCATAATAACATACTTTTAAGGAAATAATGTATGATTTGTATTATCCACCTAAAGCAACTTGTTTTGCTCTAATTGGTTTATATAAGTAACGAGCGCTTTTGAAAACAAATCTATGCTCATCTTTATATGTATGTTTGTGCGTGTAAGAAAGAATGCCTTCCATGTGTATACAGGTGACACCAGAGGATGTGAGAGCCTCTGGATCTAGAGTAGCAGTGTTTGTTTCCCAACTCAGGTCAACCCCAAGAATATTTGATGAGTGACGTGCTGAGCCCACATAGTACTTTTTATCCAATCAACTGAATGTCTTTTACAGATTAACAACAACAAAACCTAAATAAAGAAAGAAGCATATAAATGATCCCTGTGAATCTGATGCCTCAGTATTAAGATATTGGGTATAGGACCAGGTAGGCTGCTGCCCATGGGCATTTGCCACTCTGTTACCAGAGACACACTACTCAAGACTTGCTCCTAGTGCTGTAAAACACAAGTTGCAGCTTTCCCTCCCATATCCGCACCTATAGATCTCACGGACCATCCCTACCATCCCTTCCCTTCTCACCCCAAATCTGTGTGTCAGCCCTGAACTTTGGCAGACACGCCCAGCTCAACTACAAGTTACGCCTGCCAGAAGACTAGGTAGGCTGCCCAAAGACCTACCCCACTATCTTATCACCACTGACCCAATTCTCATAGTTGCCCTCAGCCCTGGAACAGAATACAGGAATGGAATACCAGGGGCAACTTTATCTCCTCCCACCCACATGTCCCGTGGATTCCTGACAACATTCCCACTAGCCTCATCTCTGTATCCCAGTACCCAACTCA